TCACTATATTACACACCAAAACTTCATATTCACTCATTGATTTTACTTTTCAGAATAGTATATCACTGAACTCCGATGGGAGTGAAAAACAGAGGCTAAGGCTGAGGTCAACCCTCGCGTGAACAGATGTTTGCACAATATTGATAGTCCACCCAGAAGGAAATGACTAAATATCTGGATCAATAGCTAGTTTCCATAGACACGACAGGTTGTTCCAGATGGAAATGTATAAATACTTCTCTATGGCCACTGGAGTGGCTAAAATGAACAAGGCTAAATATCACCCTTAAGGTAAAGCCTTTGATTAGCCAAGGCCAAAAGGTGACAACAAAGGACTTATGATGGAAAAACGCAAGGCTTCCAACAGCATTGGGTTCACTACTGCACACAGTGAAGAGGCCAAGGACATGACAGGTCACAAGCCCTGAGCAAAGTGGTCTTGCTCCCTGAGCCCATTATATATTTGTAACAATGTCCTGTCACAAGTCACATTTTCTTCAGGCAAACTAGAATCTAAGAGACATTTCTGTTGACTTGTTTTTAATCATTCACATAAGGATAGGATAGCTTCTTGAATGAAGGGCAGGAAAACATTAAATCAAAATATAAAAAATAGAAATATGCTGAAAACAATGAAACAAATAAAAACCACAAAGCTAAACAAAGAGGAATAACTTGAAACTGAACCAAGAAAGCAGGGATTATTACAGAAGTTAATATGGGATTCAGCTGACAATTTAATTCATTATTTTAACCTGACACATAGAGGGCATTCTAATTTCTGAAAATAATTTAGGCTAAACAAGCCCCAGAGGAGAATGACCACAAAATCAATAACTCTTTAGTAACACCTTTCACAATACAGAAAATGCAAAACTTTAGAACAGAATAATTAAAGAGCTCTCAATGTAACTATACGTTAAAAAGTGGCACAAATTCACACAAAGTAAGAATTAAATAGAGTTAAATTATAGTGCATATGTGGTGCACCATGTAATGAAATCAGCCCAATGGTCTGCAGAAAATCTTCCGTCCTGCTGCTGCTAATGGCACACGGGCTCCCTGTTCTTTATTTACAGCACAGCACAATTACTGAGAACAACACCCAACCCAACAGCTTTGCCTGCTTCACAGTGGCCAATGGAGCCATAAAGAGGGAGGAACCACATCATTGCCTGCTCCTTAATTAAATGAAAGCTGTTAGCTTCATTTGCCTACTTTTTTTTACACATTGAACCGGCCGGCCCTCCGTTGAAGACCTCCCAGACGCCATCCCTGCTTGGCCCTAAATCATGACTGCATAAACAGCCCACTGGGTCCCTGCTGGCCATGGAGCGGCCGCCCAGCGGCAAGGCCAGAGTAGGGCATGCGGCAGATCGACACCTAGCCTGCGATAAGTAATTCTGTAGAGGATTAGCAGCATGATAGCCTGATCAATACTGTGTGCTCAGGCCATTAGGAATGCAGCGAGGAAATGACCCCCTCCGGTAATAAAGCAGGGCATCTGGGTTCTCCTTCATTTGCCAGCTCCATTAGTGTAATGGTATCATTATCTGCCACGGCTGTATTTTTCTGAGACCTGGCGTTTCCACAGCTCAACTGGCGGGGGTCTGATGAAGCTGTGAGAGCCCCCCTATGCAGTGTTTGCCTTTACCATTGTACACAGAGCCTAGGTGTAAATCTAGCTCGGCTGGAGCTTATGTGTTACCCGGCCTTAGGTATCCAAACCGTGTTTTATGTCAGTAGCCAGCACTATTTCTCCATTATTGGCTCATTAATAGAGCGAGCTATGTGTAGCTTGGGTTAAAAGGGAGAAAAAGATGGCCAGCACAACACAAAGCTGCTGAATGTGCTAAATTTAACACCCCCCTCTTGCTAAAACATCAGACCTAACATGACAGGAAGTAGGCATTAGTCTCCATAAATCATTTCCTTTACAGTAATTCACCAGCAAACATTTTGCGGAGGAGAATTGATTAACCATGTCTGGACGTGTGGCCACATAATCAGCTTTTACCTCACTAGGTGTTAATTTAACAGAATTGCCAAGGGAAACACAAAGCATTTTAATGAGTGTTCAGAAATTAAATACCCTAAACAGCTTGCACGAGGTGACACAACCAGAGCAAACCAATGAGGCTGATCTAAGCAATGGGCTGGGCCGAGCTCAGGACCTCGAAACATCTGGTAACCCTGTGTGATCATTACTTAGCCTCTTGCTCATACACAAACAGTTCCTGTTTCAGTACAGCACTTTATACTTGTCATCGCTGTCCAAATGGCGAGCCTGCATCAAAGACAGAATTAGAACATAGGGTCAAGGGACAGGGTCAATGCTGTAGTCACACTTGCTCAAACATAAGTGGAATTCATCCTGTGATGACAACACTGATAAAACATTTGAAATGTTTTCAAGTTAAACAATGCCTTGTGGAGAACACCTGTGAAACTGAAGAAATTAGAACCACTAATAAACATTTTAAAAAGATAATTTAATTTTTGGATGAAGTGTCAGCTCATCTAATCTGAGTGGAAGGGAAACAGGTTTAACAATGTCCTATTTTAATCCAAATAAATTGAAATCACTGTCTCACTGGATGGGAAGTGATTTTATTAGGCCAACAATCTGTTGTATGTCACCTAAAAATATTCATGTAGACTATGGCATTCCAACTGTCTGTTTGACTGACTGGTTGCACAGGGCATGTCAGGGAAATGTGAATCTGTCTGGCACTAATCTGTCGGCGCATAGACTCTCTAACTCAGAATGGCAGAGAACTCATTGCCGTACATTTCTCACTTTGTGCAACCCTGCAAACACACTTGCTTACTGGATGAGACAACCATCATATCAGGTTATTTGTTGTTATAATGACTGCATCACAATAAAAAAAAAACAACAACACAAATGTATGCAGCTTGTTCCTTGGCTGCTCTGTAGTCAGTTTGTCATTTAGAAATTACAATTGCTCTTTCTCATCCTTTTTTTTTTTATCTACAGAGAATTGAAGCTAAGCCATTAGGTCTGTGCAGTGCTCTCTAAGTGCCGGAGGGCCAGCTGGAATGAGTTCTCTTTCACTGAGCCACTCATCTTGCCTCCATGGCTGCTTTCATAAACAGGAGGAACTGCGTCCTACATAGTTTCACTGCTGTCTGACATGATCCAAACACATGTGCCACAGCAGACACCATCCAAGTCCAGAGATAAGAGAAGCAACAGACTGAGAAGAAAGCAGACAGACAGACAGACAGGATGACTATAGGCAAAACAAAGCTCGAAGTGCTTTAGGCACAGATGAGTCCTTCCCTTCCATTCTCTAAGGATTCCAACAAATGCTTAGTTTCTGGTTATGCAGCATGCAAAAAGCTGATGAAGCTCAATTCTGCATGAAAGGACAGCTTAATACACCAGCAGAATCACGCAAAAAAAAAAAATCTGCAACCATATCTGGTCACATCATTGTGATGTAATAAGTGACATAACACACACACCCACACTGACTTTCAACATCAGTTGACAATCATATCAACGGAATAGCCTTATATGAATAACAACAACAACATAATGGTGCATCAATTGACCCAAAATATAAACATCACACAGAGACTATGTTAAAGTTGGTCAGATATGATGAAATAAATACAAAGGGAAAAAGGGAGAAAATAATTATATTGTTAACAAAACCATGACAGAAGCAATTTCTGCATTTTATTAGATAAAAAAAATAATTCAACAAAGCAAGTCAAGATAAAAGCAGCAAATTCTTGTTTTGTGGTAAATCACAGCATTGGGCAAAAGGTCACTGTTTTTTTTTTTTGTTTTTTTTTTTTTTTTCAATACAGAGACAGAGTGAAAATAGACCTTAAATTCAAAAACAAAACCAAAAAATATTCAGGGTACACTAAATATAACTAACTTTATATGTAAACAGGTCGAGATAATTACTAAACTGAAGACCACAGCATATTGTATTTTATTGTTATTAAACTGTCAGCTGACTTTAGTTGGTAACATCTGTTTGGCAGGAATTTTGGAGAACTTAATACTTGAATTAATGCCAGACTGGCTCTGATCTGAAGGGGCGGTCTTTTTATCGTTATCAGCACATCTTTCCCTCAGCAGTATACAGTATATATAGATATAATATGCTATAACAATAGCATAAGGTTTTTGTTTTGTCTTCCTCCCTTAGATATGTCACATATGTTTTTTAGCTAAAGACAGGTTACAGCAATGTATTTCAAATCATGAGTCGTGACCTTAAAATAGATCCTAGTATCATTCTATTAAGCTGGAGGACTTAATAATAATTACTTCTCCACACTCTGCTAAAATGTTAAATTTGTTTATAAAGCTATCATTTTTTAAGGTAAATGTAAATGAAGTTCCCAAAAGGAAAAACGTATTTGTGTTTTAACATATGAGGGCTCTAAGAGTTCACATTTAAATTTTGAATGTTATTGTTTTGAGTGAGAGATTAAACTTCCTGTTATACAACTGGGAGCTGGAAACTGCAGGGTGTATCTGCAAAACACTGTACAGAAACTTTAACACTTGTTTTTTCTATTGGCTTTCTCCTTTTAGTTCCTACTGTAAACTATTAATTGATGTTGCAGGATAAGGCTTCTTAAACAACCATTCTATTTTATTAGAACTTATGTTTGTGACAGAAAATAACATAAAATGTACTTTGTTATTAGGAGGTTGCCCTTACAGTCTTCTGCCACATGCAGCAGCTGATCCAACAGTGCATTAACATGACAAAGCAGCGGTTTAATGTATCTGTAATTCTTCATTGTGTCAGACAGGGGAGAAAAAGAGAGAGAAAAAAATGGAAAACACAATAAAGGAAACAGACAAGGTGAGGTATTCGCTGACATTGGCAGCTTTCTAGCCTTCTAAATGCAGCCAGCGGTATCACATTAGGAGCACGAGACATTCAGCGAACCACAGGGCTTAGACATAAGGTAGAGCTAACGGAGAAAAACGCTATCAATACCTTTCTTCTCTTCTCCCCCTCACTGTCACCCGATCTTTTCATGTTCCCGGAGTTGTGTTTACACTGACTCCCGTTTGTGGAGCGGCAGGCTGGTAGTTGTAGTTAAATAGTGGTTGGTAGCTGCCTTTGTGTGTTTGTAATAAAACGCTTTCGCCAACACTCTGTCATGACAACACTGTGAATGAACCACAGTTTGTGTAGTTACGGGAAAACACAGTTTGTGCAAAAACATTAATAAAGAGAGTTTGGAAACTAGGACAAGAGAACTACATATCCCAGGGTGTTGTTCGCTCGAGGCGGAAGTAGATTTGCCAGCTAACTATTCCACTGCGCAGTTTTTCAACGCAGGTTCTGCACGCTGCAGTTGTTGTTTTTTGATATTATATTCTAATATTCTCATTTGTATTTTTTGTTATGATAATGACAAATGAGAGTTTACAGATGAAAAGGAATCAAAAGACACATATATGAATAGTTCTATTTATTTATTGAGGCATGTGGAGACAAAAATATAACAAAAATAGTTACAAATAACCACAGTAAGTCTAGCACAGTGCAATTTTGGAACCTGGATGATGTTTGTAAATTGACATGAAAACTGATTTGTGTTATTCTTTTTTGTAGCTGGTCCTGATGAGCCATTGTTTTTAATAGGGTACATTTGTTACTGTATCTGGGAATTATTATCCTACATAATGCTTAAACAAAAGCAATACCAAACTTATTGATGATGAAGACTAACAGTTCAAGTGTAAAAATAATTATATATTGTATGCAAATTTGACTGTCACATTTTACTTATAATGCAAATAAGAACATTTTTAAGTTTAGTATGTGAAAGTAGTTTCCATTAGATTTCCTCTGTGTGTAGCTCAATGTGACAATGCCTGTTTTACTCTACTGTTTTATCAAAGACATCAATAATTTAATGATGGTCAAAAGACACTCGGGTGATAGTTTGACCAAACTTTAATCATTCTTGGGCACTTTTGTGGTCATCAACATGGATATTCCATATGCTTCCCCTTTTTTCTTTGTAAATGAAAAGCAGTGCCTCTTTCATCTTAGACTATGTGTAAAAATAGCAATCATGCTTTGAACATGCTCCAGCTCAAGTCCCGCCAACCTTCTTTCAACTTTGCATGCATCTCAAAGCCAGGTGTTTCTCTGCCGGGGCGAACTTCTATCACATCAGCCCTTTTCAGCTCACTACCAATCATGAAAGAGTGCCGTAAATGCTTAGCGTCTACGCAGCTACGTTTGAGCAACAGCCGCAGTTAAATCTCTTTCCATCCAGATTTTCTCGTAACATGTTTTGAATAGTGCCGAAATGTGTTCTGTCCATTGTTTCTATGAACGCACATGTGAAATACATGAGAGGGCTTCACGGATGGAGCAGCAGTGTTGGGAGGGCGCAGGGGCGAATTGCAAGGGTCTGAAACACCTGCTATATATTACCATTACAGTGTCTTCATTAGTTTCCTTTGTAATCTCTTTTCTTTTATGGTAGAGCTGACCCAAGTGAACCAGTTACAGTGATTTAGCGCACATGTTTCTTTCACCTGTCTTGTAAAATGCTCAAAAGCTCTGCTGCTTTCAAAGATGTTGGTGTCTCTGGCATCCCTTACCAATAAACCGAGTAGGTTCTTTTGATTCCTGTTAATAGCCTACATTTCCTTTTCTCTGTCCTTGTCCTTGAAAAGGAAAATACAACTGAAAAATATCCTTGAGATCATTTTGTGGAAACCAGATCCATATGAATGCATGTAAGTTTTTGCACATGAACATATGTTGGTTGATAGTACCCCTTTAGAGCTTGTTGTAAATAATTCCTCCTTTTTTCCCCTCTTTGTCAAACTCTGACTTCAGCCGACCTCTGTCACCCCGATTCATCATTACACTGTGTTTTTTATATGCGTCAAACGATCATCCACATATTGCCACTGTCAATCATCTTTATGGTTAACATTTCAGGGAACAGAACGTTCGCTGCTTGACTTTCTTTTGTCAGATTTTGGGACTCTTTGAGCAGTTGTAATGTAGGGCCTCTTGTCCAACAAATCCTGCAGAGGTTTTGGATCTTAATTCCGTCGCTGGTGGCCTCATGGTAAAATAATGTCCAAGTCCTGCAGTAATGTCCCACAGCCCCCATGACCAAAGGATTTATTGGCCACTCACAGCAAGGACTATTAAATAATTTATATGTTTATCTTGTAGTTTTCTTTAATGAAAAGTTATATAGAGTTTCTTAGACCCGAGGCTTAACAAACTGCTTCTCTCCAAATAAGATAATAACTTAATTAACCCTAAAATTACAAAGACAAAAAACAAACAATTATATTTTAATGTTTAAATTGATGTTTAAATTTAATTGTGGATTTGATGTACCATAACTAATAATTTGCTGTGATCAATCGTGATTAACCCGTAATTGCAATTCACTATGATTAATCGTGAAAATACAACATTCTTAAATACGACAGAAAATATTTTATTTTTCTGTTATTTCTGGACGAAAAAGATGCACAGTTGATAGTTTAGAACAGCAGGTATTTTCACAGTTTTTGCCTACATTTCACACCTGTTATTATTAACACAACTAAAAGGTTTATTTTGACTGCAAGAAAAAATTGCAAATGCTAGTTAACTTAACATTATTTGTCTTAGCCTTCATTCAAAAAAAGTTGCAAACAGTTTTTGTGCCTTTGGTCGATGGCCGTTTTACATCCAATTCCAAAACTTTTGCCTGGCAACTGTTGTTCTCTATGTAGTTGCTCCAGTTTAAATGTATATACTATTTCAACTCATGTAGGACAAGTAAACCCATCAAACACTCAAATGGTCCTGTTAGCTTTACATAGCTTCTCTGTGCTGTATAGACATGTTACTGTTAATTCTAGATTTATGCAACGTTAATTGTAGTTCCACCATGACTTCAGTTATATCTCACTTTTCTCTGTCATACTCGTACTTTATTCCTTTTTTCATCATAAAATCATTTTCTCTCTCCTGGTGATTTTTTAGGTCCAACTTCTCAGTTCAATCCACATTTCCACTTCATCATTGTCGTATTTTACTTATGGGAATGTGTCAAACTGCCATTCACATGTTTTCACTGTCAGTCAGTGTGATAGGGAACATGTCAGAGAGGAGAAACTTCTCCGGATGGGATCTGTTTGATGGTCAGATTCCGAGGCTCTGTGAACAATCATGAAGTACAGACTCTTTACATGGAGACAAGCCAATTACCTTCCTCAACAATGCCTGTCATTTGTCTGACAGTGAACCAGGCTTTAACGCAGGCACCTCTCGTCTCATGTCGAACCTGTGGGGTTGAACATAAGGCAAGGTTTAACATGTACTCGCTCTGATGTGGTATCATATGGGATCGAGGGAGAAAAAAAATGGCTTTGAACTTCTATCATTGCATAGCAACGTCTACTGATCTGGACAATGTGTTTGTGCTCACGATGTGGTATGTTTTCTGTTATTATGCGTTGCATCAGCTCTGGATGACCCTCTGACAGGGCTTCTTTTTTGTGATATAATGGCAGTCTAAAAAAGAACAGGGGAAGAATAAAAGATGAGGAGAGCACGGTGCCAGAATGTACTAAAACAAAGTAAAGGAAGACAGAGACCATTGTGTTGTCTGTATTAAAACCAGAGCCCACAGTCCAGCAATAATTTCCCCCTCATTCTTCAAACAATCGTATGCATCCAAAATCAGAAATACAAGAGACAGGCCTTTTGTAAATAATAATATCTTTCCGGAGTAGGACTTTCTATTGGGCCACCTAGAATTTATGATCCCAATATGATATTAAGCTGCGGAATCTGAATAACAAAGGAAGACAATGCAGTCCACTCTGTTCTGCACCGCTGGGACGTTTTTGGGAAGGTAGTGTTGAGAATATTAAAAAGTATTTTTATTTTTTTTAGTCACCACAACTCTGTTCAGGGAGTATCCTCAGCCTATTGTACTGCCTCAGTGCAGACAAGCTCCTCTTCTTAGTTTTATTTATATCAAGTGAGCATATGGGGCAAGTATGTGCCTTCCCTGTTTGCTAACCTTCAATGCTTAGCCTGGGGAAACTGTTATTTGTCAGTGCTATAAAGCAGATTGCTGTCCAGTGGTTTCAATTAACATCAAAGGGCTCTTCGCAGGCAGTAATAGTTATATCAAAACCTGAAATGTATTATTTAGGTAATGTGCAGGGGAGCGCCAAATGCTTTTTTTCCATTGCTCAGGAGAGGGTTTTCTTTTTTCTTGCTGTGACTTTTTTCCCTATTCCACACACTCCACCATCTTCCATCAGGTGTACAGTGAAGTGTCTTTGTAGCACATACTATTTATTACTGTGTAAGACACCAATGGTATAAGTAATTGAGCATTCATCTTGTTGAGCTAACTATGTTTTTTTCAGTTTTTTTTAGTCAAACCAGATTCTCTTTAATTAAATTTAAAAATATGCACACCATCAAATATTAAACAAAAAACCCACCAAAAATGTGATGTCTCAAAAACATGTATTTTGGCCAATTATTGGATGGCAGACACAGTATTAAGGAGAGTCTGTGCTAGTTAATCATTGGTAACATAGTTGTGCAGGACCAGGATGTTAGTTTTTCTTTTTCTTTCTTTTCTTTTCTTTTTGGCCTTTATTCCAAAATATAATGAATATCTTTCCAACCCTGTGGTCGCGGTTTTTTGTTGCACAGAGGTCTCATTTAAATGATTCAAAAAGTACACTTCTCAATGCGCCATGATTAAACTTCAATAAATGATTATGTGATAGCACCCACAGCAAAGGGCTCTTTCTGTTAGTGAACAGAACGCGGGTGCAGTCTAAGCCTTAGATGTGGTACAAGCTCCAAGCCTGGGATCATTTCCAGACATGGGAAATGAGGAAGCGCTTTGCCATGGCTGTGATTTGAATACCATGATTACTGAGCACTTTTATTAGGAAGCCATTAAAAAGTGAGGTTTTGACACACAAAGGAGCCCCCTTTTCAAAATCTCACGCACAATGTCAGGCTGAAAGACCCTATAAAACTCTATACAGGAGCGTACATCCCCCGCATGTGTCCC